TACGTTACTTTAACCGGCGTTGTGCGGTTCGTGCAAAGCTGCAGCCAAATGAAATGCATTTTATCCCGCAAATAGAGATTTTTTTGGTGGTATTTGGCCACCTCTGCAGTTTTTACTTTTGCGTTATAAATGATGAAAAAAAGTACCAATATTTTTGAGGGGAAAAAAAATAAATAAATACACACACACACACCCACACACACACACACATATACACACCACATACACACATACCACACCCCACATACCCCACCACACACCCCCCCCCCCACCCCCCCCCCCACCCCACACACACATACCCCCACCCCCACCCCACCCACCCACCCCCACCACCACCCTAAGAAACAGCAAGAATTCTGGCTCTCAAAGACCTGTTACTGCGCCTTTAAATAGTCCCCCCTCTACTCCCACTCATTCATCTCACTTAGTAGCACCTGTCTGAGCTCTTTAAAGACAGCTGTCCTGTCCACCCCACAGTCAGTCAGACGCCAACTACTACCATGGGCAAGACCAAAGAGCTGTCCAAAAGACACCAGAGACAAAATTGTGGACCTCCACAAGGCTGGAAAGGGCTACGGGCAATCGCCAAGCAGCTTGGTGAAAATAGATCAACTGTTGGAGCAATTGTTAGAAAATGGAAGAGGCTAAAGACGACTGTCAGTCTCCCTCGGACTGGGGCTCCATGCAAGATGTCCCCTCGTGGGGTATCACTGATGAGAAGAAAGGTGAGGAATCAGCCCAGAACTACAAGGGAGGAGCTGGTCAATGACATGAAGAGAGCTGGGGCCACAGTTTCAGTGTCGGTAGAACACTACGACGTCATGGTTTCCAATCGTGCATTGCATGGAAGGTTCCCCTGCTCCAGTCATCACATGTCCAGGGCCCGTCTGAAGGTTCCCCCTGCTCCATCATCACATGTCCAGGAAGCCCGTCTGAAGGTTCCCCTGCTCCAGTCATCACATGTCCAGGCCCGTCTGAAGGTTCCCCCTGCTCCAGTCATCACATGTCCCAGGCCCGTCTGAAGGTTCCTCCTGCTCCAGTCATCACATGTCCAGGCCCGTCTGAAGGTTCCCCTGCTCCAGTCATCATGTCCAGGCCCGTCTGAAGGTTCCCCTGCTCCAGTCATCACATGTCCAGGCCCGTCTGAAGGTTCCCCTGCTCCAGTCATCACATGTCCAGGCCCGTCTGAAGGTTCCCAATGACCATCTGGATGATGCAGAGGAGGCATGGGAGAAAGTCTTGTGGTCAGAGGAGACCAAAGGAGAACTTTTGGTCTAAACTTCACTCGTCGTGTTTGGAGGAAAAAGGATGAGTTGCATCCCAAGAACACCATCCCTACTGTGAAGCATGGGGGTGGTAACATCATGCTTTGGGGGTGCTTTTCTGTGAAGGGGACAGGACGACTGCACTGTATTAAGGAGAGGATGAATGGGGCCATTTATTGTGAGATTTTCAGCAACAACCTCCTTCCCTCAGTCAGAGCATTGAAGATGGGTCGTGGCTGGGTCTTCCAACATGACAACAACCCGAAGCACACAGCCAGGAGAACCAAGGAGTGGCCCCGTAAGAAGCATATCAAGGTTCTGGAGTGGCCTAGCCAGTCTCCACACCTAAATCCAATAGAACATCTTTGGAGGGAGCTGAAACTCCGTGTTGCTCAGCGACAGCCCCGAAACCTGACAGATCTAGAGGAGATCGGTGTGGAGGAGTCGGCCAAAATCCCTGTTGCAGTGCAAACCTGGCCAAGGACTACAGGGAACCGTCTGACCTCTGTAATTGCAGACAAAGGCTTCTGTACCAAATATTAACACGGATCTTCTCAGGGGTTCAAATACTTCTGTTCAGCCGTGCGAGACAAATACATTCTTTACAAATCATACAATGTGATCTCCTGAATTCTGTCCTCAGAGTGGGAATCCCCTCCAATGTGAATGTCAGACCCTCCATGATGGAGAAGTGGGAGAACTTGCAAAATCGCAGGGGGTTCAAATACTTCTGTTCCTCACTGTGTATACAGTCAGGTCATAAATATTGGGACATCGACACAATTCTAACATTTTTGCTCTATACACCATCACAATGGATTTGAAATGAAACGAAACAAGATGTGCTTTAACTGCAGACTGTCAGCTTTAATTTGAGGGTATTTACAGCCAAATCAGGTGAACGGTGTAGGAATTACAACAGTTTGCATATGTGCCTCCCACTTGTTAAGGGACCAAAAGTAATGGGACAATTGGCTTCTCAGCTGTTCCATGGCCAGGTGTGTGTTATTCCCTCATTATCCCAATTACAATGAGCAGATAAAAGGTCCAGAGTTCATTTCAAGTGTGCTATTTGCATTTGGAATCTGTTGCTGTCAACTCTCAAGATGAGATCCAAAGAGCTGTCACTATCAGTGAAGCCATCATTAGGCTGAAAAAAAACAAAAAAACCCATCAGAGAGATAGCAAAAACATTAGGCGTGGCCAAAACAACTGTTTGGAACATTCTTAAAAAGAAGGAACGCACCGGGAGCTCAGCAACACCAAAAGACCCGGAAGACCACGGAAAACAACTGTGGTGGATGAGCGAAGAATTCTTTCCCTGGTGAAGAAAACACCCTTCACAACAGTTGGCCAGATCAAGAACACTCTCCAGGAGGTAGGTGTATGTGTGTCAAAGTCACCAATCAAGAGAAGACTTCACCAGAGTGAATACAGAGGGTTCACCACAAGATGGAAACCATTGGTGAGCCTCAAAAACAGGAAGGCCAGATTAGAGTTGGCCAAACGACATGTAAAAAATCCTTCACAGTTCTGGAACAACATCCTATGGACAGATGAGACCGACATCAACTTGTACCAGAGTGATGGGAAGAGAAGAGGATGGAGAAGGAACTGCTCATGGTCCTCAGCATACCACCTCATCAGTGATCATGGTGGTGGTAGTGTCATGGCGTGGGCATGTATGGCTGCCAATGGAACTGCTTCTCTTGTATTTATTGATGATGTGACTGCTGACAGAAGCAGCCGGATGAATTGTGAAGTGTTTCGGGAATATTATCGGCTCATATTCAGCCAAATGCTTCACAACTCATTGGACGCTTCACAGTGCAGATGGACAATGACCCAAAGCAGACTGCAAAAGCAACCAAAGAAGTGGAATGTTCTGCAATGGCCAAGTCCATCACCTGACCTGAATCCGATTGAGCATTTCACTTGCTGAAGACAAAACTGAAGGGAAAATGCCCCAAGAACAAGCAGGAACTGAAGACAGTTGCAGTAGAGGCCTGGCAGAGCATCACCAGGGATGACACCCAGCGTCTGGTGATGTCTATGCGTTCCACACTTCAGGCTGTCATTGACTGCAAAGGATTTGCAACCAAGTATTAAAAAGTGAAAGTTTGATTTATGATTATTATTCTGTCCCATTACTTTTGGTCCCTTAACAAGTGGGAGGCACCTATGCAAAGTGTTGTAATTCCTACACCGTTCACCTGATTTGGATGTAAATACCCTCAAATTAAAGCTGACAGTCTGCAGTTAAAGCACATCTTGTTCCTTTCATTTCAAATCCTTTGTGGTGGAGTATAGTGCCAAAAATGTTAGAATTGTGTCCATGTCCCAATATTTATGGACCTGACTGAGTGTGTGTGTGTATGTATATATATATATATATATATGTTTGAGGGTTGTAAGTAATTTTCTAGCAATAAATACTGATTTAAACTTGTGAACAAAAAGTGGCAGAAAATGCCGGGTTTTCCAGGGGATAGTTTCTCCAAAGTTGGACCTACCAGGACAGCTGCATTATGGACACGCTCTGTGGGTTGTATTGTATCAGTTGTTCATCACCTGTGCAGATTTCATTACCTGTTATGTACAATCCCTGGCTGACAGCTTTGATGTCTTCTAGGTTAGCATCTTCAAGTGTCTCCCAGATTGTAAACCTCTTCCTAGACGAGATGTTTCTGTCCTCACCGAAAACAATTTCACCTCCAAATTCCATCCATTTCAGGTAATTTTAGTTCTTCTGTATAGGAGTAATATTATGTTGAGATATATTGTTCTGAAACTGTTTGACAATTTTTAGACGCAGCTCTTACGGGTTGGTGAACCTCTGCCCAAGATCCTTTTTCCAACTCCGAGATCCCTTTTTCCAACTCCGAGATCCTTTTTCCAACTCCGAGATCCTTTTTCCAACTCCGAGATCCTTTTTCCAACTCCGAGATCCTTTTTCCAACTCCGGGATTCTGTATTTTTTTTTCTCTGACATGTTGCTGTTCTGTCTTTCACTTTCAATGTTATAGGTTGCACTGAGTAAATACAGCCGGGTAAAACAAAAACTGTGTCTGTCTTCATTTCAGGCTGCAAAATGTGATTATTTTAGAGGGGAAGGGGATTGTTTTCTATGCCCGCTGTAAGTCCTCCATGTTAATACAAATCTTCCTTCATGTGATTGCAGACAGATGTCCCTACAGCCCCCCAGAGCCGACTAGTCGCACTGCTGATGGCCTTTGTGTGTTCCTTACCCAGAAATGTAAGTTTTATTGGCGATGTCGGTATTTGTGGTATAGATTGCAGACATGGTGGGGGGCGATCAGGTTGTCACTTCTAACACAACTTGCAGGAAATGAAATAAAACGGTGTGAAAGGTCAATTTCAAACACATTAAAATAACACATTTACTGCAATATTTTTTTCCTTAACCACTTCCCGTCCGGCTGTTGTATATAAACGGCCGGACGGTGGCAGTGAAGGGTCAGGTGGCTGTTTATAAACGTCCTCCCCGCACCCTGCTTGTGCGCAGCACCCCGATCTGGTGCCTGCTGTGTCCTCCGGACACAGTGGAACACCGATCGTTGTACGGGACCTCTGTGTGAGGTCTTGATCATGTGATCACGGATTGGCCAATCCGTGATCACATGAAGAGTAGCAAGCAAGATGGCTGAAAGGCTGTAAAAGCAATAATTTCTCCTTCTCTCTGGCTGCATTCTTGCATCCATTGAGAACTACTGTGTGAGCTGTGATTGGTCACAGCTTGTCACATGGTACAAGGCTGTTGTGAATAGCCCTGTACCATGTGATCTCTGTGATCATTCACAGATTTCACACGTAGTAAGTAATGATGTCAGAAGTGACATCTTGCTTACTACTCTGCATGTGATCACTGATTGGCCAATCAGTGATCACATGATCGGGACTTTCACACAGAGGTCCCGTACAAAGATCGGTGTTCCACTGTGTCCTGAGGACACAGCGGGCACCGGATCGCGTGCTGCTGCGCGCTCCCAGGGAGCGCGCACAAGAAGGGGGCAGGGAGGCCGTTGATATACAACAGCCGGACGGGAGGTGGTTAAAGTAACGCAGCTCCGTATCCCAAAAAATGGCCTGGTCATTAAATGACAATTGCACAGTCATGCAACAAATGAAAGTTACGTCCTTATTTTTCCCCCACTAATGGAGATTTCTTTTGGTGGTATTTCATCGCCTCTGTGCTTTTTATTTTTTTGTGCTATGAAAAAAAAAGGCAATTTTGAGGGAAAAAAAACCCCAATATTTTGGACTTTTTGCTACTAAACACGTCCAGTAAAAAAAAAATTAAAAATCAAATTTAGTGATAAGTTTCAGCCAAAATGTATTCTGCTCTGTGTGTTCACTAAAAAAAAAAAAAATCAGAATCCGTGTAAATTAATTGGTTTACGTGAAAGTTATAGCGCCTACAAATGGCGGTATAGATACTGGGATTTTAAATTTTTTTTCTACTAGTAATGGTCGTGATCAGCGATTTATAGTGGGACTGCGGCGGACATTCTGACACTGGGGAGGGGGGTGGGGAAAACTGACTTGGTGTCACTGGCATCCCCAGTGACACCAATACAGTGATCGGTGTTAAAAAAAAAAAAAAAAAAGCAATGGCACTGGGCAGGAAGGGGTTAATATGAGGGGCGATCAAAGGATTAACTATGTACTGGGAGTGTTTTACTGGGGGGGGTGCTTCACTGTAATCACACTGCTCTGGATGGCTGTGCTGTGCAGTGTGCCCGAGCTGACAGGGAGGAGGACTGTTAGTAAGCAAAACAGTCTTCCTCCCCGTCAGAGATGCTCGGTAATCAAGTGCCGTTGGGTAAATACCGGCCAGGTCCCAGTGATTGACAGCCGTGGCTGCGAACGGCAGCATGGGTAGATCGCGTGCACCCCTACCCGGAAATGCGAAATCACTTATATATATGTGATTTTGCACACCCGTGCCACCCTGTAGCAGTATTTCTGCTATAGGGAGGTCAGGAAGTGGTTAATAGCAAAAAGTGAAAAAACTGCACAGGTGAGCAAATCCCACCGAAAGACGTAAATTTGATTTGGGTGCAGTGTTGCATGACCGCGCAATGGTCAGTTTAAAGTAAACGCAGCGCCGTATCGCAAAAAACGGCGTGGTCAGGAAGGGGGGGCGGGCATCCTCTGGAGGGGGAGGGGTTAACCATGCATAGCTTCGATCTCCCATGCCGATGGTTTATGGAAGCGTTGGTCTAATGACGTATTTTGTTCACAGGTGGAGATCCCTCATCTGAGCCGCCTGTTGCAGCATTTGCTGTCTCTGAGCCTGTGCGGCTCCAGTCTGTTTGCTTACTCCTCCTCTGCCAAGTGCTTTGCTGGTTTGATCAACAAATGTCCCTCCGGTGAGTGTGTGAGTCCTTCCTGCGCTGGATGCCAAAGGCCAAGATTTCTATCACTTTAAAACGGGCGAAACTGGACCAAAACAAACCATTTCCGTGACATCCTGAGCTGCTCTGGGGGTTCCAACATGCAGTCGTCATATCGGGTACACGCAGTAGGCGGTGTCGTGTTCCGCAGCAGTACACAGACTCATGGCTGCTGCTGGAGCTGAGCGCTTCTCCGCCATTCAGGGAAGCCTTGTATTTTTATCGATGAATACAAGGCTTCCTGTGATTGGCTGAGGTGGAGATCAGAATGTCATCCACCCACCTTTCCATTTTCAGGCAGTTAGAGGATTGATAAAAATACAAGGTTTCCTCTGAATGGAGGAGAAGCACTCAACCCGGCAGCAAGCCGGAAGTCACCCGTACTGCTACCAGAACGCAGCGCTGCGTACTATATCCGCTCTCCCCGGACCCCGCGTTCACTGTATCGGCTCTCCCCGGACCCCGCGTTCACTGTATCGGCTCTCCCCGGGCCCCGCGTTCACTGTATCGGCTCTCCCCGGGGCCCCGCGTTCACTGTATCGGCTCTCCCCGGGCCCCCGCGTTCACTGTATCGGCTCTCCCCGGACCCCGCGTTCACCTATCGGCTCTCCCCGGGCCCCGCGTTCACTGTATCGGCTGTCCTCCCCGGACCCCGCGTTCACTCTATCCGCTCTCCCCGGACCCCGCGTTCACTCTATCGCTCTCCCCCGGACCCCGCGTTCACTGTATCGGCTCTCCCCCCGGCCCCCCGCGTTCACTGTATCGGCTCTCCCCGGACCCCGGTTCACCTATCGCTCTCCCCCCACCCCGCGTTCACTGTATCGGCTCTCCCCGGCGGGCCCCGCGTTCACTGTATCGGCTCTCCCCGGACCCCGGCGGGCCCCGCGTTCACTGTATCGGCTCTCCCCGGACCCCGCGTTCACTCTATCGGGCCCCGCGTTCACTGTATCGGCTCTCCCCGGCGGCCCCGGGCCCCGCGTTCACTGTATCGGCTCTCCCCGGGCCCCGCGTTCACTCTTATCGGCCCGCGTTCACTGTATCGGCTCTCCCCCCGGGCCCCGCGTTCACTCTTATCGGCTCTCCCCGGGCCCCGCGTTCACTGTATCGGCTCTCCCCCGGGCCCCGCGTTCACTCTTATCGGCTCTCCCCGGCGGCCCCGCGTTCACTGTATCGGCTCTCCCCCGGGCCCCGCGTTCACTGTATCGGCTCTCCCCGGCGGGCCCCGCTGTATCGGCTCTCCCTTATCGGCTCTCCCCGGGCCCCGCGTTCACTGTATCGGCTCTCCCCGGCGGGCCCCGCGTTCACTGTATCGGCTCTCCCCGGCGGGCCCCGCGTTCACTCTTATCGGCTCTCCCCGGGGCCCCGCGTCTCACTCTTATCGGCGGGCCCCGCGTTCACTGTATCGGCTCTCCCCGGCGGGGGCCCCGCGTTCACTGTATCGGCTCTCCCGGCGGGCCCCGCGTTCACTGTATCGGCTCTCCCCACCCCCTGCAGGGATCGCTCCTGGACGCACACGGTCGCCGTGGACAGCAGCGAATACCTGTGGCCGCCGATGACCTGTCATTATAGTGAACAGGCTGACTTGGTGTCTCTTATTGATTTAATGACTCCTGTGATACTGATAACATTTGTGCCTCTTGTGTGTCTCCCTCCTCACAGGGGACCTTCTGGACGATGTTCTGCAGAGCGCATCCTGTAAAATCGAGCTTGGCCTGGCGGATGAACACGCGAGGACTCAGGCTATGACGCTTCTCGTCTGGGTAAAAACCGCAAGACATCGTACAAAGACACACTTGCGTGACTTCAGAATCGTGCGATATTCAGTGCAACTTGACATGACTTTGAATGAGTGCGACTTTGGCGGATTGCGCTGTACAAAGTCGCATGTATATCATTCAGGTACGACTTTCATGGGACTTTGCAGGGTTTACTTTGAAGTCTGTGGCCCTCAAGTCGCATGAAAGTCAGTTAGGTCAGGAACTACTTTCAATGGTACTCATTGAGAAACATGGGGTGTGACTTGTCACGTGACTTTGGACTCCAAAGTTGCAAGACAAGTCGCACGACAAGTGTGAAAGGGCTCTTAGGCTCCGTTCACACTGCTGCAACTTGGCATCCGATTGGACCCTGAAGTCGGTCGATTTATGAGACCCTCAAGTCGGTCGATTTATGAGACCCTCAAGTCGTCGATTTATGAGACCCTCAAGTCGGTCGATTTATGAGACCCTCAAGTCGGTCGATTTATGAGACCCTCAAGTCGGTCGATTTATGAGACCCTCAAGTCGGTCGATTTATGAGACCCTCAAGTCGGTCGATTAATGAGACCCTCAAGTGTTGACCGCTCTGAGAGAAGTGACGCTCATGGAGTGAGATTGTGATATGAAGATGGTGTGAAAGTTCAGCAGACCTTCAAGACTTGAGTGTCGGTGTGGGAATGTAATGTAGAGATGCGATAATAGCGACATGCAGGAATATATGTGACGATGGCTGTTGTGACTCTTACAGGTGACTAAAGCGCTGATCCTGCGGTACCACCCCCTGAACGGGCAGCTGACCAAAAAGGTGAATGATTCCTGAATTCTCACAACAATTGTGCTTTATGGCATTCTGCAAACCAGCCCCTCCCCCCGATAACATGGTGGTCTACACTTATGTGGGCGGGACTTTTCTTTGCTGGCTTTGGTGGTGCAAATTCAAAACTAAAATTTGGGTTTTGTCTGTAATTTCTGTGATGTAATTAAAGTGATTGTGATTTATATAGCAAACCTGTTATACTTTCCTGATCTGTAGTGGTTTTAAACAGAGCAGCCACGAACCTCCTCCTCTCGGGTCCCCCCCACTGGGGCTCCTGGCTCCTTCTCCTCTCAGGTCCCCCTATGGGGCTTCTGGTTCCTCCCCCTCTCGGGTCCCCCTGCCGGGGCCTCTGGCTTCTCCTCTCAGGTCCCCCTGCCGGGGCCTCTGGCTTCTCCTCTCAGGTCCCCCTGCCGGGGCCTCTGGCTCCTCCTCCTCCTCTCGGGTCCCCCCGCCGGGGCCTCTGGCTCCTCCTCCTCCTCTCGGGTCCCCCCGCCGGGGCCTCTGGCTCCTCCTCCTCCTCTCGGGTCCCCCCGCCGGGGCCTCTGGCTCCTCCTCCTCCTCTCGGGTCCCCCCGCCTGGGCCTCTGGCTCCTCCTCCTCCTCTCGGGTCCCCCCGCCGGGGCCTCTGGCTCCTCCTCCTCCTCTCGGTTCCCCCGCCGGGGCCTCTGGCTCCTCCTCCTCCTCTCGGGTCCCCCCGCCGGGGCCTCTGGCTCCTCCTCCTCTCGGGTCCCCCCGCCGGGGCCTCTGGCTCCTCCTCCTCCTCTCGGGTCCCCCCGCCGGGGCCTCTGGCTCCTCCTCCTCCTCTCGGGTCCCCCCGCCGGGGCCTCTGGCTCCTCCTCCTCCTCTCGGGTCCCCCCGCCGGGGCCTCTGGCTCCTCCTCCTCCCTCTC